AAATCGGAAAGCATACTAACGGACATGGGTTTTCTAATTTTTTCTCATAATTAATTTTTTAGGGCGTTCAGAATCTTTATAACCGTATGGAAAGGATGTATCTTCTTGGTCCAGAGTTTATTGATATTACCTGGAATGCTGGTGGAACTTCTTCGCAACTAACGAGTGAGATCACTGCCACTGCACAGTCTGTGTACGGTTTAGAGACTGTTATGCACTTGACTTGCACCAATATGCCAAAAGAAAAAATCGATAAGGCATTAAAGGTATAAATTTTGTTTCTTCACGATTGTTACATTTATTTATTCATTGCATGAATTGTTAATTCAAGTGATTACTAAATATTTGCATTATCCGGAAATTACACAGGATGCCAAAGAATGCGGCTGTCAAAATATTCTTGCTCTTCGTGGGGATCCACCAAGGGGTCAGGATCGATGGGAAGCATGCGAAAATGGATTTTTAAATGCCATTGACCTTGTTCATTATATTCGCGCCGAGTATGGTGATTATTTTGGCATTTGTGTGGCAGGTTATTGCGAAGGTCACGTTGATAACCCCGACAAAGAGGATGATATGCGGCGCCTCAAAGAAAAAGTAGATGCTGGTGCAGATTTTGTAGTGACTCAAGTATTTTATGATGTAGATATATTTTTGGATTGGATTAAAAAGTGCCGTGCAATTGGTATTACTTGTCCTATTATTCCGGGAATTCTACCAATTCAAAACTATACTGGATTTAATAGAATAATAACCCTATCAAAGACTATTGTTCCCCAATTTGTCTTGGATGCTTTGGAACCTATTAAAGATGATGATGCTGCTGTGAAAGAATATGGAATCAAATTAGCTGTTAATATGATTAGAAAAATGTATGAAAATGGGATTGATGGTTTTCATTTTTATACTATGAATTTGGAAAGATCTACACGTCTGATATTAGAAGCTCTGGAGTTTGTAGCACCGGTGGAAAATGTAAAACCGCTACCATGGTGCCCGGTAAGATTACTATATACAATGTTTTTTGGAAAAATATAATTAATATATTTATATTAATGACATGCATTTACAAAAAATAGTCGTTATCAGCAAAACGCAAGAAGGAAAATGTGCGTCCCATATTTTGGAGGAACCGTACAAAAAGTTATATTGCTCGCACAGAAGCGTGGGATGAATTTCCTAACGGCAGATGGGGCGATTCTCGTTCGCCCGGTAATTTTTATACCTACACTTTATATATATATATTTATTATTAATAGACATGAATTCTAATAATTGATTATTCATAGCATTCGGTGAATTGGACGGCTATGGTATATCATTAAAGCATACTGTACGTATAGCATTGAGCGTTTTTATTCTACCTAAAGTGAACTTTATTGCAATATCTTGTACTTATTTTTATATTATAGGCCAAAGAAGCTCTCGAATTATGGGGCTATCCCTACACTTTGAATGATATCTTATCTATCTTTGTTCAATATTGTCGTGGGGAAATTATATCCCTACCATGGTCTGATCAATCACTTGCCCAAGAGACTGAAGTCATCAGAGATCGTTTAGCTTATATAAATTCATTGGGATATTTAACAATTAATTCTCAACCTGCCGTAAATGGTGCTCGCAGTGATGACAAGGTATTTGGTTGGGGGCCCAAAAATGGATATGTTTATCAAAAGGTATTATATAATTTTGAAATTTTATTCTATTTTATTCTTTTTTTTCTATGTAATGATATGTTAACGTCCATTAAATTTAAGGCGTATTTAGAAATTTTTGTTTCACCTACAAGACTCGATTCTCTGACCGCGAAAATTGAACGTGATCCCAACATAACATTTTATGCGGTCAACAAACAGGTAATAAAAGTCAATAATACAAAGACAATCAAACTTGTCCAACTAACAACATTTCAATAGGGTGACTTGAAAACTAATACTCAGAGTGAAGGACCTAATGCTGTCACATGGGGAGTATTCCCTGGCAAAGAAATTATTCAACCAACAATTGTTGAAGCTGTGAGCTTTATGGCCTGGAAGGTACTTGTTGAATAACTAAGTATTTGAACCATCAAACGTATATTAATAAAATTGTTTATTAGGATGAGGCTTTCGAATTATGGAATGAATGGGCTAAAATTTATGAACCTGATTCTATATCTCGGAAATTGATTTCACAAATAGCGGAGAATTGGTATTTGATCAACATTGTGTATAACGACTTCCATGACGGTGATAGTATTTTCAAAATTTTTGATCATGATGCAGATAACCTATTAGATGCCGATCGTTGATAGATAAATAGCAACATTATAACCATTTATTCTCTAATTCCATTATTTATTAAAATAATTAGTCCTTTATCATGAGTCCGCTTTTAGGAACTATAGCGGATTAATATTATGATGTATCAATTAGAACTATTTGTTTTATATTATCGATAGCTCTGGTTTCTTTTAAAAGTAGAATCATTTTTGACTAAAATTAGATGTACTAATTGAAAACTAAAAAGATCATGTATTCGTGACGTTTATATTATTTGATGAAAATATATTATTTATATATTAAATTGATTAAACTATGCAGTTTCTTCCAAAAGTTTGAGTCCACTTACTATGTTTTTATTATAAATTTTAACTTTATCTTAACTTTATCAATTTTTAAATTCTTAATTATATAATATAAAATTATAAAATTTGCATATATTATACTTTAATACTAGTTTTATTTCTTATATGTAATTTTTTAAGTTTTATTATTGTTAAAATATTTCTTTCCTTATTAAATTTTTATTTTTGAATAATTTTGATTGGTTATTATTATAAACTATATAACAATTAATAAAAAACAATAATATTTAACAATAATAAAACTTTTGAAATTATTTATAAAAATTTTTTTAAAAAAATATGTAAAATAAAACAAGTATCAAGATATAATATATATAAATTTTGTAATTTTTATTTGTATAATTATAGATTTAAAATTGATAATATTAAAATTTGTAATAAAAACATAGCAAGTAAATTCAATTTTTTAAAAGTAACCATATATTATTTTCAAAATAATTTTTATATTGTTAAAGAATTATTTTTATAATATTTAATAGAATTTAAAAAATTTTTATAATATAACTATTTTTAAAAATTAAAACCAAAAAAATTTTTTTTTATTATTTTCTATCAGACTAGATATACATATATTCTTTATTAGATATATGTATACTTTATATTAAAAAATATATTGCTAAAGTTAAATCTTTACTTAACTTGCTTATTTCTATTTTAAAAATTATTAAACCTTTAAATGTAACTTCAGAAGTGATTTATCATTTTTTTAGTAGTTCAGGTAAAAATATTCAACCTATAAAAATTAGTTATAAGTAAAGATGGGTCCCTAAAGGGGGAGACAGAGACATAAGTCAAATGTCCCTCACTAGGAAACATTAAAATTTTTAAATTAATAACTA